GTCGAAAATTTTGAACTTTCTCACAAGGAAAAAATTAAAATAAGTTAGTTACTTCACTTGAAACATGTAAGCCTTTTCACGTGCAACTTCATGCTACCTTCGAACACGAATTTTTTACTACAAAATTCACACTCAAACTTTTTTTCGACAGTTAGGGACTTTTCCGTTGGGATTATGTTTAACCTCTGATATGTTTATTCATAGTGCTCCTGTGGGAGAAACTTCTCGAGCACACTTTGCATTTCATACTTCTTTTTCGTATGCAATTTGTTTGATGTGCTTGTCTAGGGAATCTTGTGTGGCAACTGTATGAGACATGTTTCGCATTTGAAGGGTTTCTTGCCTGTTGTGGTCGTTATTAATGTGACTCTTTAAAGATGAATTAATTTGAAAGCTCTAATGCATATATCGCACTTGAATGGCTTGTCATCTTTACCGTTACTAGCAGCGTGAGAAAAATTTTGTGGTTCTTAAGAGCTGACTTGAAAAAGAAAGCTTCTGGACAAATGTCACAATGATACGGTTTTTTATTAGTATGATTATACTGATGTGTAAGAAGTGGTTGTTTCCGTGGAAAACGAATTTGGGACAATATTCACATTTGTACTGGTAGTTACCAGTGTGGATGGACTGTGGCACTCCAATGAGAGCTTCTTCTTGAATTCCTTTAAGCAAATGTTACACTGAATATATGGTGGTGTTATTGTTGAAGACTCAATGTGCCGCCTTTAACACATTTTTGTTTTAAAAACTTTTAGAACAAACTATACAACTGGTGCTGTCTTGGTATCTGAGTGGTAAAGTTGTGTCTTCTTAACTTAAGAGGGTTTTTATTAAGAAACTCTTCGGGCAAATGTTACATTTGAATTTCTTTTCTCCTGTGTGAATAACGTATGTGGTCCATTTTTTGATGACAGTTGTTTGAACATTTTTGGACACAGTGGACAGTGGTATCGCCGTTTCTCCAGTATGTGTATACATGTGTGCAGTTAAAATAAATTTTCGCTTAAAAGATTTTGGACATAAGTGACATTTATATATATTTTCCTCCAAAATTAAAACATTTGTGTGCCGCAAAGTTGTCCTTTCTCTGAAGGTTTTATAGCAAAAAGTACATTTTATGGGTTGCTTCCTCTGAGTGAGTATACATATGGTTTTTTATGGAATTAGATTTGAATGTCTTAAGCATATCTCGCACTGATATGCTGTACCGCGGCATGAACGCTTGTGAATGGTTAGATTCGATTTTTGACCTGAATCTCTTCAAGCAAATATCGCATTGAAATTTCTTTCTCTCAGTATGAAGTCACATGTGGGACTTCAAATAATATTTGTCCTAAAACTTTAAAACACACTTTACATGCCACTTTTGATGTAACTTTCTTTTCCTTTACAGGGGTTGTTGAATGAAATTCTTTTCTTCTATATTAGCTGAAATATTTTCATTTTTGTGCATGGGTCTTTTAACAAACAACTTTTCTTTACACGATAACTTAAAGATGTTTCAACAACTCGTTTTTCTTACAGTACCATTTGCCACAATATGGACATGTGTTAATGCAATTTGCATTTTTTAAGCTTCTTTCTTCTATCCCTTTTTGTAATATCTGAAAAAAAAAAAAAAAACAATTAACTAGCATAGCATTAAGATACACCCCGTTTGATAATCTCAAACATAATATCGTTATAAATCAGTGACCAAAAAATTTCAAAAATTATTTTTCTAAGTTTGTCAGGACAAACAAAGATACATGTTTATCTCATCAATTTAAATCAATACTTTGCACATGTAATAAAATCTCTAGCAGATAACATTTACCACGTCCAGTCAATACATCATCCAGGAAAATACATATTTGAATGGCTAGAGACAGTGAGACAAAGAGCGAGCATTGATCAACATCATCAAAATGAGATAAGGTCCAATACTGTCGGTCATATAATAAGAGGACCTAAATATCGCTTATTCCAGTTAATCATTCAGGGCAAAATCGAAGGAAAACATTGGGGTCAGAGGGAAAACAACTGTCCTGGCTGTGTAACATTAGACAATGGACAGGGTTGAACGGTTGAAGAACTGTTTCCATCTAGCTGCCGACTGAAAATCATTTCATCAGCTTGTCAATATGACGAATAGCCAATGCTTGAATACACGCATGGCACACAAAGAAGAAGACGTCTCCGAAAACAATATTAGAGAGGTCATAAGAAAAACTAAAAAAGGGAAATCTTCCGGCTGCAATGGTTTTAGTGTGGAAAAAGATTATTAGAGAGTTTGATAGGAGGTGCTGCTACTGATTATAACTAAGTTAGTTAACTTCCCTATCACTGGATTATTCTTAAACTCTATACAAATGGCGATAGTGGGTACCATTGTATAAAGGACAGGATCAAAGAAGCGACCAAAAGTTATCCCCAATATCTCTTTTAAAACAATGTCAAAGATCTTGAATCATGTATAAATAACCAAATTGTACAATTCACAACTCTTTGATACATCTAGCTAGTGGTTTAACAGGCAATACAGTTTTAGAAATGATTCATGCGCAGTCTCTGCTACTACTGACTTAATTATAGACATATACAAATTAGACAAAGGATTAAGTTGTGTATTTGTATCATTGGATTTGCAAAATGCTTTCAATACATTTGACCATGATATATTTATTTTAGTGCTTGATCAATAAGAGATAAACTGAAACAGAATTAGCTTGATGAGGGACTATTTGAGTGACAGAATACAAAAAATGCTATTGCAACAAGCACAGCAGAAAAATATTGCATGTGAAGTTCCTCAAGGTTCTATATTAGGACCAACAACTTTTCCTGATTATTATGAATTCATTATTCAAATTTACCTCAGTAGTTTATGTTGTATTCTTATGCTGATGCCACAGGTATTCTGTATGCCAATAAAAGATCCCAGAAAAATATTGAAACTGATGTAGACAAAGGACTTAATAAATAGAAACAGATTAAGTATCCCAAACCTTCACTTAACATGATTAAGTAATTATGATAATTTCAAATGTAGATGTACATCTACATTTGAAATATAGGGAAATATATATATATTTGAACTTTGGAAAATTCAAAATTAATAAAAAGGAGGATGATCAAGTATCCTGGATTGTGTTATAGATGAATGACTTACTATAAGAACAAACACTTCTTAGACATATGTCATAAACATAGCTCCAGCAGTAGTATTATTCTCTAATAACTCACATCTGTCTTATTTACCAATTGTTATAGGGTAATACCAATCACAAACAGCTTCATCCTCTAATGGTATTCTAAAACTATTAAATATATTTTTCAACATGCAAGCCTTTTATCCAACAGATCTGTATGCTCAAGAAGAATATTCAGTTTTTAAGGCAATGTACACTATGCAAGTTTATGTATTAATTTCATAAATGTAATCTTTCTCACAGTACTTACAAATATTTCCCTAACACTGAAACAAAGATGTACATGGACTATCATACTACATAAGAGGGTTGTTTTGGAACAGGAAGAATGGGAACTTCTGGTGTAAAAAGAGGCATACACTAAAAATGCCTGATCTTTTATAATAAGCTGCCCAGTAATATGAAGAAAAGTCAACTAGGAAGATTTAAATTTGGAATAAAACAATTACTTTTTGATAACTACTTTAAGAACAATCAGATTTGAATCATTTAAATTTCTTCTTGAATATTTTGAATTAATGGACAATTATTTTTCTGTTTTAACATATAAGTAATACTTTTGTGAAATTAATAAAACTGGAAAGTAACTTAATCTTTAATTTGGATTTAAAGGGCATTGTGGAATAATAAGAATGAAGGACTTGACTAAGTAGATAAAAAATGAAGAAAAACAAGAGCATATTAAGGTATCAGTGTCTTGAACCCATATTAGCACTGCAATTTGGCAAACATATCTCCAACTGAGCAGACCTTTGCATAATTATCTATAATGAAGTTTAGGTATATATTCATTGTAAAAGTACACACAGACTACTTATAGGTCTCACATATAAGCTATTTTTCCTTATTTAATTCTGGTATACTTACATTCTTGGATTTTTGAAG